CAAAGGTTTTTTTAAATTTTCCTTTTTTTTTTTTTTAGCAAGATTTAAAACTGCTTTCTTTCTTAATATACTTATTTTCCCTGAGTTGGCCCTGAATCTTCAGGATGATCGTACTTGATGACTTCCCCCACTTGAAAACCGGAAAATTAAAAGCCTGTTTATTTTTCGTATTACAGGATTTCTTCAATTAAGGACGGTGTGAAAATATCAAATACGCATCAATATTATAGCTTCATGCAGCAATCATTTTGCTGAACTGAAAATTTCTTTCAAAAGGTTAAATGAAATCTTTTTTCACCAATTGATAAGAACTTCCTTTCAAGGTTGAATTTAGATGCTGCACTCTAAATTATCCACAATGGCTAAGACTTTAGCCAAACACAGTGACTAAATAACTTTTAGTCAAATAGTACAAATAATTCTAAGAAGCTGAAGAAATCTTAAAAAATAGAAAAAGTGAGTATGTGATCTTCTGCAAACATATGATCCCTTGCTAAAGATGGAGGGGAATGGTCAGCTCATTCTATTAATCCAGGAAGTACCTGACTCATTCTGTTATATTTTAGTCAGAAATTGAGTATTGTTGTCATATAGTAGTAGATAATTTCATCTATCACCCAGTTCACACTCCTGACTGAATGATTTTTTTATGGTTTATCAACCTTTTGTGGGTTATTTAAAGCTGAAATATATTTTGAATGGTAATTAACTAATTCTTTTTTTTTTTATGAGTGAATAATAATATGATAATTTCTGGGGGAATAGCAATAATTTTTTTTCAGATACAATTCCTACTTTTTAACCCATAGCTGGGAGGAAGCGATGGATGTATTCTAGCCAAAAGTATTGTAGTAAATTCCTCCTAAAACGTACTCACTTCAAGAATGAAATAATAAAAAAAAACTGATTTGACATTGTTTATATTGTTGGGTCTGTTAATTATAGAGTACTACACTTTTTAATTTTTTATGCTATGTCCTTTCCGGATATAGGTAATCATGGCCCTGTTTATCATTCTTTATTATCAAGTAAAATGCCTTGATTTCTTGAGTAAGATAGTGGAGTAGTTCCTTCAAAACTATAGAGTTCAAAGTTGTCCTTCTCCTAGACTGGCTAATACCCAAGGCTAAAGAGCCTAGTCTATCCTGTTATTTAACTCACAGCTGCCAAAAGAAGATATGGAGTCCTGCCTTTCCCAAAGATATTAGTGTAAAAGTGAATGCAACAAACTAGGCTGGAATTTGAACTTGGTTCACTGAATCCATTTTCTACACTGATCACTACCTGCACATCATTATTCTTCTTCTATGTGCCATGTCCCCCCAGGGTGTGAGTGATCATGGCTCTTCATAATTTCCTACCCTTTGTAGCTCTTAGTAAAATTAGTATTTTTGCTATCTCTGTTCTACCAATCATTTACACAAGTGCATTACGCAGGTTATGTGCTGCTTTCCTCTGTCTCTCTTGCTATCAGTATCTCCCATGAGTGTCAAATTCTCTAAGCTCTCTTTCCTCTAATGTACCCTAGAATTTTCAACTCTTTCTGATGCTAAGTATGTGTCCTTATAGTTCTTTTCCCCCAAATTTCTTCATTGCTCACATGTTCAGTCCATGGTATTCTCAGCATCCTTCTGTAGACCGACATTTCTGTTGCTTTAAGTCTCTTCTTTATCTGCAACGAGATTATCCAGCATCCACTGCCATTTGGGAAGACTGATATTACATAACAATTCAGTACTCTTTTCTTTGTTTCTCTTGCTTCAAGTCTCTTCTTTATCTGCAAAGAAATTATCCAGCATCCACTGCCATTTGGGAAGACTGATATTACATAACAATTCTGAACTCTTTTCTTTGTTTCTCTTGCTTCAAGTTTTCTTCATCTGTGAGGAGATTGACTAGCATTCAATGCCATATAGGAGGACTGATATTACATAACAGTTCAGTACTCTTTTCTTTCTTTCTCTTGCTTCAAGTCTCTTCTTCATCTGTGAGGAGATTGTCCAGCATTCACAACCATATAGGAGGAATGATATTACATAACAATTCAGTACTCTTTTCTTTCTTTCTCTTGCTTCAAGTCTCTTCTTCATCTGTGAGGAGATTGTCCAGCATTCACAACCATATAGGAGGAATGATATTACATAACAATTCAGTACTTTTTCTTTTTTTCTCTTGCTTCATTTTCTCTTCTTCATCTGTGAGGAGATTGTCCAGCATTCACAACCATATAGGAGGAATGATATTACATAACAATTCAGTACTCTTTTCTTTATTTCTCTTGTTTTCAAGTCTCTTCTTCATCTGTGAGGAGATTGTCCAGCATTCACAACCATATAGGAGGAATGATATTACATAACAATTCAGTACTCTTTTCTTTCTTTCTCTTGCTTCAAGTCTCTTCTTCATCTGTGAGGAGATTGTCCAGCATTCACAACCATATAGGAGGAATGATATTACATAACAATTCAGTACTCTTTTCTTTCTTTCTCTTGCTTCAAGTCTCTTCTTCATCTGTGAGGAGATTGTCCAGCATTCAATGCCATATAGGAGGACTGATATTACATAACAATTCAGTACTCTTTTCTTTCTTTCTCTTGCTTCAAGTCTCTTCTTTATCTTTCAACGAGATTATCCAGCATCCACTGCCATTTGGGAAGACTGATATTACATAACAATTCTGAACTCTTTTCTTTGTTTCTCTTGCTTCAAGTTTTCTTCATCTGTGAGGAGATTGACTAGCATTCAATGCCATATAGGAGGACTGATATTACATAACAATTCAGTACTCTTTTCTTTCTTTCTCTTGCTTCAAGTCTCTTCTTCATCTGTGAGGAGATTGACTAGCATTCACTGCCATATAAGAGGACTGATATTACATAACAATTCAGTACTCTTTTCTTTCTTTCTCTTGCTTCAAGTCTCTTCTTCATCTGTGAGGAGATTGTCCAGCATTCACAACCATATAGGAGGAATGATATTACATAACAATTCAGTACTCTTTTCTTTCTTTCTCTTGTTTCAAGTCTCTTCTTCATCTGTGAGGAGATTGTCCAGCATTCAATGCCATATAGGAGGACTGATATTACATAACAATTCAGTACTCTTTTCTTTCTTTCTCTTGCTTCAAGTCTCTTCTTTATCTGCAACGAGATTATCCAGCATCCACTGCCATTTGGGAAGACTGATATTACATAACAATTCTGAACTCTTTTCTTTGTTTCTCTTGCTTCAAGTTTTCTTCATCTGTGAGGAGATTGACTAGCATTCAATGCCATATAGGAGGACTGATATTACATAACAATTCAGTACTCTTTTCTTTCTTTCTCTTGCTTCAAGTCTCTTCTTCATCTGTGAGGAGATTGACTAGCATTCACTGCCATATAAGAGGACTGATATTACATAACAATTCAGTACTCTTTTCTTTCTTTCTCTTGCTTCAAGTCTCTTCTTCATCTGTGAGGAGATTGACTAGCATTCACTGCCATATAAGAGGACTGATATTACATAACAATTCAGTACTCTTTTCTTTCTTTCTCTTGCTTCAAGTCTCTTCTTTATCTGCAACGAGATTATCCAGCATCCACTGCCATTTGGGAAGACTGATATTACATAACAATTCTGAACTCTTTTCTTTGTTTCTCTTGCTTCAAGTTTTCTTCATCTGTGAGGAGATTGACTAGCATTCAATGCCATATAGGAGGACTGATATTACATAACAGTTTAGTACTCTTTTCTTTCTTTCTCTTGCTTCAAGTCTCTTCTTCATCTGTGAGGAGATTGACTAGCATTCACTGCCATATAAGAGGACTGATATTACATAACAATTCAGTACTCTTTTCTTTCTTTCTCTTGCTTCAAGTCTCTTCTTCATCTGTGAGGAGATTGACTAGCATTCACTGCCATATAAGAGGACTGATATTACATAACAATTCAGTACTCTTTTCTTTCTTTCTCTTGCTTCAAGTCTCTTCTTTATCTGCAACGAGATTATCCAGCATCCACTGCCATTTGGGAAGACTGATATTACATAACAATTCTGAACTCTTTTCTTTGTTTCTCTTTTTCAACTTTTTTCTTCATCTGTGAGGAGATTGACTAGCATTCAATGCCATATAGGAGGACTGATATTACTTTAACAATTCAGTACTCTTTTCTTTCTTTCTCTTGCTTCAAGTCTCTTCTTCATCTGTGAGGAGATTGTCCAGCATTCAATGCCATATAGGAGGACTGATATTACATAACAATTCTGAACTCTTTTCTTTGTTTCTAATGAAGTTTTCCTGTTTTTTAACACTTTGCTTAGCTTCTGGAATGCATCTTTCACTATCATAACAGACTTTCGGATTTCAGTGTGATATTTTCAAATTTTTAATCCTGTGTAGAAAACTTATTCTTTTATCATAGAAGTTTTTTATTTTGGTTCTCAACCAGTCCAACCGGGCACACTAATGTGCCCCGAATGGTAGCCAGATGTGACCTGAGTTAACAGAATAGTAATTTATGAATTACTTTTATATTTAAAAAAAAAAGCTAGACACACCAAAACAATGTAATGTCTTAAAAATGTTTATTTCAGGAGAACTCTTTATTATTTTCCTATTTTCAAATTTCATGAATAATTTTTCCTTTTAAAAATTTAAAGTGCATCCCAGAGTTTTAGTTATTCTATAAGTATGCCTTGAAGTAAAAAAAGATTGAGAAACACTGGTTTAAAGTATAATACCTTATTCAAAATTTAGGTGCCAAAAAATAACTCCACCCCACTATACATTTAATACTCAGAAGATAGTATAAACTGTGAGGGAGGAAATTCAATAGTAATCTTTCACTTAGCGGGCTACAGAATTGCCTAGTAAGTAATGGTCCTGGAAACAAATTCTCCTGACTGAAAGGAAGACATCATTTAAAAATTGGTGAGTGCAATCTTGATTAAAAAAAATGGAATTCAGTTGTAAAAAGCAGAAGAAAAAAGTATAAACATCAAAGAGAGTTTGACTTACTTATGTTTAAGTAATAACGTCCTGAGTACATTTCCTTTGTCTTCTGGCTGGATCAGATCGTAAATCCCCATTTGTTCAACAATATTATGTACAATGGACGATAAATCCTTGCTTTCAAGGTCAAGGAGAAACACACCTGTGGAAAAATATATACAAAAAATATTAAAGAAAGAAAAAAAATTAAATTAAAAAAAACAAAAAAAACGAATGACTTATTTTTTTATGGCTTAGCAAACCCTTTGCAGATGATTTAAAGCTGAAACATATTTTGGATTTTAGCAATAAATCATTTTTTTTTTAAATGAATATTGCATAAACAATTTCTTTGGGGATAACAATGATTTTTTTCCAGATACAAGTCTTACTTCTTAATCCATATCTGTGGGAAGAGATTGATTCATACCTTTCCCAAGAGTATTTGCATGAAAGTGAATATGAGTTCAACTGGAATTTGAACTCAGCTCTCTGAGTTCTCATACTAAGCTGCTATTTATGACACCACCCACACATCCTTACAAAAACGAAAACATGAATATTTGGTAAGTTTGAAGATGTTTCACTAATGCTTTGGCCATGATCAGATATTGCAAAGAAGGGAAATATTACCTACATTTCATTTATTTATATATCTCTGTTGTATAAACTAATGTGAATTGCCTCTCTTGATGATGATTGTCTCCCTTGAAAGAAGAACTCTCCCTTACTTAGATACTATAAATAAGTGGTCTAGCTGTGACTTCCCATTCAATCTCAATAAATATTTCTTAAGTCACCTCACACCTCCAAGTTGTTATTACAATTTATTGGGCTTGAATACCACAAATGGAACACCTTATGCATCCACAATGGTTATTTTGAATAAACACAACATTACAACAGGAACCAATGCTTTAATCTTCTAAGTTATTGTCCCTGACACTTGAAGAAGGCTGTAGAGCACAACAGCCAAAATGTTATGATAATATTGTACTGGTTTTTACAATAAACCTTTACTTATTTTATCTCATCCTCATTGCCACTGTTATATTCCGTGCTAAGAGGAATATATACTTGAAAAACAAGGTGGATAAAATAAGTAAAGGTTTACTGTAAAAAACCAGTGCAATAAGAATAAAGGTAACAGTTATGCATCACAAGGCAATCCAGTAGTGAGTGCTACTGTTGGAAGGTCGGTAGTTCTTATGTAAGTCTGAGTTGTACTCAAAAGATCCCAGCTAGTCTCTGTAGTCTGTTGACTTACAGATACCTATAGTGTAGTTACTCATGGGGGTGACATCAGATAATAACAAAGATAGTGACATTGGTCTACCCTTAAATAATATAAATACTAAGGTAATTAGATTATGTGTCTTCAGGTTAAATAATTGGTTCTGTTTGAAATTCTCTGAAGGTTGTTTGACGTAAATCTGAAGAAGACTAGAGAGCACAACAGTTGAAACATTGTGATAATACCAACAAAGATGAGGACATTAGTCTGACCATAAGTAATGTAAATATATTTGAATCTTTTTTGTACAGACAGCCCAGTGATTTTCAACTACTGTACCGTGGCACACTAGTGTGCTGCAAAATATTGTTATGACATACACATATATATGCGTGTGTGTGTAGATGTAGTAATGGTACAGCATTAGTATTTGAATAAATGAATAAATATTAAACTTTTATTCAAATAATATTTTTCAATATTCTTTGATTATGTTATTTTAAATATTTTTTTTAATATTTATGTTTTTTAATTTAACTTTTAAAAATTTTCCTTTATTTGAATAAATGAATATTAACCTTTTTTTATATAACTATATTCAAAATTCTTTGTTTAATTCAAAATTTATGTCTTTATTTCATAAAATTTAAACGCAAAAATTTTGGTAAGGGTGCTTGTTGTAATGGAATGTCCCACTCTCCCTATTGCCTATTTTGGACTGACTATATCAGTAAATATATATAGTGTGTACAGGATATACTTGAGACTTGCTTCAGGATTACTAGCCTGCTAACTGATTCCCTGTATTTCAGTAGTGTATTCTCTTTTACAATAAACCTCTATTTCTTTCATCTACACCTTCCTTTGCTGCTGTTCCTTCATTGTAGTACCATCTTTGTAACCTTTTTTAAGGATACAACAATGACTAAGAATGAAAGAATCAGAGAGGGGAATAAAAGAACAGGTTTTAATGATTGGCATTGCATTTAAGATAAGGTAAATATCCTTGCTTTGGGAATTACTAGCTTGCTAACTGACTCCCTGTCTTTCAGTAGTGTATTCTCTTTTACAATAAACCTCTCTTTCTTTCATCTATGCCTGTGTTGCTGTTCCTTTCACTCAAGTACCATCTTTGTCTGTTTGTAACCTTCTTTAAGGATATAACAGTGCTGTGATATTTTCATTTGCTCCTAGGTGTGACATTGCTTAAGAAGGTTGAGAAACTCTGAGAGCCCATTGTTCTCATTTTTTTTTATTGGCCTTTGTGTAATGCTTGCCCTATAACAGATTTAACATCATAATTCATATGCCTTCATCACATCATGCTTAACTACCAAAGTCTTTTTCACATCATTTGCTTGAAGTAAAAAAGAGATTAAATTTTTACTCATGGCACTCGACTCCTTGTTGAATATTTATACTAACACAGACAAATGCATTTCTTGATGGACATCAAATTTATTCAACTCCTAAAAGAAAAAAAAATTGTTCCATCTTGACATTGTTACTCTGGTGAGTAAACTCAGGCTATGAACAACTCAGCAATGAAATATATACCTATATACCTACTCATAATTGTTAGTAGGTAAGTTGATTTCTGCAAAAATTAAGAAAAAGATTTATGCCAATTACAGTTCCATAGTTGATTTTAAAAGATAAAAGGCTGTGTACCTGCATTTTATAGATTATGCAAAAGCCTTTGATAAAGTACATCACAAAGGAACTGCTAGCTGACCTTGACATATTTGGTACTAGCTTAAAAGCCACCCTATCAGGCAGCATTTAAGCTAGCTTCTGCGGAGGTATCTTGATTGGGCCTTTGGCTTGTTCAGGAGTTTCAGAGTCCTTAAGTCTTTGTATATTCTCAGTATTGGAGGCTCTCCTGGCTGACATTTGATCTGGGTTTTCATTTGCATGGGATTTTCTTTTGCTCACTGCAGCCTTGGCTCTTTTGATTGCAAACTGGTCCTCTGTTGGCAGAGATTTCTTTTTGTGAGGCATACTGCTGCTGCATGCGATAGGCAACAATAAACTACAGAAAAACTCAAAATTGATCACTGCATTTAAGTATTGCATTAATGTTTAAGCTTACTTTTTAAAAGTTCAATCATAATTCTTCTGCTGTCACTTAATTTAAAGACAATTTGATGTATGTAGGTCCTTACTTTCTGTACAAACAATTATTTTTATTTCATGGGTGACTTTTGTTGGATTTCACAATTAATTTCAATTATTCCTAAATTTATTTCCAAGTTATAAAAATTTTCATCATACAAAAAAATTTGTTACAAAAAAAATCATGTAAAAAAAAAAAAAAAAAAAAAAAAATGCCGAAAACTATAGCAGTAATGAAAACTTGCGAATCTATTATTTAAGGATTGTGGGTCCAGATCCAGCATGAAATGTTTTTAATTTGCTCACAGAATCGGCCCTGATTTCAAAATGTTATATGTTGCGCTATGTCCTCTGGGAATAAAGTTGAAAAAGTGTGACACACTGACATTCACATTTATTTATATAGAAGGATATTAAAATAATCCAGAACCTATACTGGTAGCAAACCACCTGCATATGGATAAACAATGAATTTCAGTAAATATACAAAAATAGAAAGAGGTGTAAGACGTGGATGTGTCTTCTCACCAGACTTATTGTTATGGTGGAACACACCTATTCTATAGTTAATAGACTCTCCCACCTATAATAAGTAGGAGTAGTAAGAGTAACCAGGCAGTCGGTCAGTCAGTGAGTTGATGTTGGACGACAGTTAGTCGAATACAAAAGTATCAGCGACCATGACCAGATTACTCTGTGTTATATCAAGTTCCTAATGTTTTGTACGTCGAACCTATTTTAGGACCATTTTAGTACAAATACAAGCCTCCACTGCGAAATCACTCCACAACACTTATTCAACGTGAGGTGATTCTGAGAGAGTTAGAAGTTCTATCAGGATTTATTATTGGCAGCCACATTCATACCAACACAAAATATGCAGATGATACAATGTTGAAAGGAAACTACAAGAACTCCCATAGAAGATTGTGAAGGAAATAAAGAAGAAAGGTTTTAACATCAATTGCAAGAAGACGTTCTTACAACATTTCACATTTATTGGCAGATTTTCTATAATCATAATGTGGTATATTTAAAAATAAAGGTAATGGAAACATAAAAAAAAAAAAGAGAAGCTAATAATCCGGTTGATTTAGAGGGATTATAAGGGGTACTGGGAAAAAAAAATGTTATCAAGACATGTTTTGTATCATTGAAAGCGGAATTTAATATCCTGCAAGAAAAAAACCAAAAATATCTCTCCTCTATTCTTGGGGAATTTTTTTTTTTTTACTGCTGTTTTCCAGAGTGCCACTTTCTTTGCAAAAATCAGATGCTGCAAGTTGAAACATGGTAAGTGGTTTTCATGCACAGTTTATTTCAAATGTGTTCTACAAGTTATTTGTAATGTTTAGTAGTTGAGGTTATGTTTACTGATTGGGCAATATAATCTGTAACTGCTTCATATTCTTATAGTATAGTATCAGCTAACTAATAGGCATTCAAGACACAGAGATTTATTTTAATATGGACTTTATTTGGACTGATCTGGATCAATGAAGTGAAAAAACCAACCCAGAGCGAATGGTAAGAAATACAGGAATTTTGTTTAATGTCTGTATTCTAACTTTTCTTCTTGAATGCTGCTGATGAAAAGGTTTCATATTGTATTATTTATGCTACCAACGAATGTGTTTTGTGTTGTTCGGGTTCTAAGAGGAATGCTGTTCTGAAATACAAGTTTAAGAAACCTGAATATCCATATTGCTCTTGTATTCCTAATTGCTGGGTTCTTGCGAGGATGTAAGAGGATGCTACATCCTTGGACACTACGAGACGTTTAGTTTGGTTTATTTTGTTTTACGGCATATCAA